GGACAAAGCCGCGCCGCTGGTGCCCGGTCCCTCCGTGTTCCTCTGTGTCCCTCCGTGCCCCTCCGTGCCGGCTGGGCTCCGCTTCCGGCCTGGAGGCATGTGCGCGGCTGGCAGTGGGAAGGGCGAGCTCGGCTGGGCCATGTGCAGCTCTGTGGGTGTGCGGGGCCGACGCCGGCACTGCTCTCCGTGTAGGTGGGGAATGCCGGAAGGGTTCGCAAAATCGCACAACTGTTTGGTTTGGAAAGGACCTGTGGTGATCATGCAGTTCAACACCCCCTGCCAGCAGCAGGTGGCACAGGAGCGTGTCCAGGTGGGGTTTCAATGTCCCCAGAGGGGACAATCCGCGTTCCTCGTGTTGAGGGGGAACGTCTTGTGTGTTAATGTATGGCCACTGCTCATCATCCTGACACTGGGCACCACTGGGAAGAGTCTGGCACCATCCTCTTAGCACCCACCTTTGCCATACTTACTGCATTAATGTGATCCCCTGACAGTGTTCTCTAGAATAAGCAGGCCCAGCTTCCAGTCTCCCCTCATAAAAGAGAAGCTCCAGGCCCCAAATGATCTTTGTGGGCCCCCACTGGACCCTCTCTTATAGCTCCTTGTCTTTCTTGTACTGAGGACCCCAGAATCACAAGTGTGCCTCCTCACTTAAAAGCAGATATGCTGGATAAATGCCTTACTCCTTTGTAGCAGATTTTCTTCCAATGCAGAAATAAGTTTTTTCAATTGTATCTTCCAATTTAGAGACTTGTCTTTTATGTTTTTTAATCCAAAATTATTTTTTAATGTTTTCTGCTAAACACCAAATAAATAACTAAATTAATTAATTAATAGAAATACAATAGCTTTCCTGACCACCAAACAGAGATTGGTTTATGTTTCTGAGCTTCTGAATATTTGTGATTGTTCACTGCTAGGCTGTATCAGAACTGCAGTGTTTGAGGAAGGGAAGGCAGTTTTGCAGAACATGCTGAAAAGTTACATAAGACACAATCGTGATTACACTGTTTTAATTCTGTTGTGTACAAAACGTATTTACACTGACTTCCAGAAAGGTTAACTTCCATAACAATTCTCTATATGTGCCACATGAAAAACAAAGGACTTAGTGCCCCGTTTGTGCATTCTGGGTCAGGAAATGCTGGAAGTGTCTATTTCTAGAAAATGGTAGCTGGCTGTACCTGAGCCCAATGTTTTCCATTGCTGCACATCATGAGACTCTTGGTGAACAATTCCCTGGACATGGGAGGTTCAAATTTCTGAAAGGCTTAGCCAGGTCTTTTAGCATGCTGTTTAAGAAGAAAAGAGAGAGAAGTCAGTATGTACTGCATCGGTACAGGACAACACATAAATGTCTCAAGGGCACAACTTTTCTCCTTCAGGATGAACTGTTAGAGCAAAGGACAGCCTTCCAGGTAAGTTGGCAAAGGAGTGGCAATTAAATGCAGAAGGCAAAACTACTCTTGGGTACACAAGACATTATTAGAGCAAGGGAGCAGCCCTGAACACACTACAACACCCAATAGGAGCCAAGCAAACGTGTGGTGGGAGTATTTCTGCTGCGAGATGCCAACACCGCTTGAGTGAGAGCAGCTGTGTCCTGACAATTTCCTATGTTCACCCTCATAATATACAGACTGATTACAAGGTGCAGGCTGACTGGCCTCAACAGAGTTGAAATTTCTGCCTTCCAGCTTATAGCTGTGTCTCACAACCAAGACAGTCTGAGGCTGCCAGCAAGGATTTGGTTCAATGCCGAAATCCTTGCAGGTTTGGCAGTCTGAATAATGTGCCAAACTGTGCATGTCTGTGTAGCAGCTGAGGTGCAACACCAGTGGTACCTCATGGTGGAGTTGGAAGAATTAAGTATCATAGCCCTTGGATACTTGAAGATGATGTTGCCAGGAGAGGTGGAGCTAGTGCCCTAGACAGGGAGAGGAGAGAATGCTGCAGATGAGGTGGGAAAATCAACAGCTAAAATATGAAATGCTGTTGCCAGAGCTAGACAACTAGAATAAATTACAAAAGGTGACAAAACCAAAAAAACTTGTGACTGCTTTGGGTTTATGACCACTTTGCATTTTACTTGGGCTTTTGAAATATGATGTTTCCAGGTTATTGTGATTCCCTGGTTATTTGATGAACAGTTAAGTGAGATCACACAAGAGGACTTGTGTATCACTGCTTAGTTTTGCTGTCTGTCTGACAGAACAGGCTCTTTGTCTTGACTGCTGACTTCTTGCCCATTCTCCTGATTTATCCTATTGGCAGGAATGCATGGCGCCAGTAGGCTGGCTCAAGACTTTCTAACAAAAATCTTTGGCTAAAAGGAGAGTCACATGGTGTCAGCAATCCATGTTCCTATTGTCTGACTTGTGCTGGAACTACTGATGTCAGGAGTGTCACAGTCCCAGTGGCACCAGTGATGCCAGTGGTAGGTGAGAGGTGACATCCTTTGGAGAAAAGTGTTTTATGGAGTAGCAAGGCAAGCTGGGAGTGGAGGGTGATAGTAAGGTATGCATGACAGTGACTTCCCTAGCAGGTACTACAGCACCCAAACAAAAATAGCAAAGCAATTCTGGTGGTGGCTAGAAGTTCAGCCAAGAGTATAGATCACCAGTGACCATCCCAGTGAGCACAGTGACAAGGAGGTCTGAGATCAAGCCAGAAAAACCAAGCCAGTGAGTCAGGGTCAGAATCAGGTTCAGTGACAATAACCAGGACCAACCAGCCACCAGTCTGGTCATCATTAGACAAGCCCACAGTGATGGAAGGATCCAAAATCATCTCAGTTAGGCCGGGATCTGGATCAGTGTGTGGGGCCAGGCACAGTCATACCCATAACATAGCTGAGACAAGGATTAAGGGAGAGCTTCAATGTAGGCACAGCTCTTGAGCAAAGCAGGTGGGTCTCAATTCTTACAGCTCTTTTTCATGCAGCATTCTAATCCAAGGTCACTCAGCTGCACCACGGCAGAGCTGCCTTTGAGCACATGCTGACTAAGGCCCCAAGAAAAGGTCTAATTAAGAGCTTCACCCCAGCTGAGGGACACACATATGTGACTGAATCTGTTTATGTGGCTTAGTATTTGTGTGCCAGAGTTTATTTTAAAGACATGTAAACTATCATCATTTATGACCATCTGGAGGCATGGCCAGACATACTTTCTGTACACCATTAAACATTGTAAGAAGTCAGAATTGAGGGAATCATATGGATCCTTGATATTTTCCTCCTCTTTTGACACAATGCTCCTGTTATCTTGGCATACACAATTCTTGGGATTTTCTCTTTCCTTTCTGCTGGTCCTTAAGACATGACTGTCTTTGAACCTAAAAGAGGATCCCAAGTTCATTCAAACCTGGAAAATGAGCATTCCCTGAACAAATATTGCAAAATGCTTGTGTTTTTAGTGACCTACCAGGACTGACAAGCCTTCAGAGTGTGTGCCTCCAAGTAGTGCCACAGTCCTCTCTCTGGAACACTTAATGCTACAAATGCTGTCAGCACTGACATGTAGTCACACTGCTGAAAATAAATTGCCTATGATAACTAAGCCACAGCCCCCTCAATTCTGGCTACAGTTGCTACAGTGGAATGCTTGCTTGGGGGCTGACTTGACTCTGCAGACAGAAGAAACTCATTTATTTCCTTTGCATAGGTAAGGCACCCAGTCTCATGTCTTGGGAGAAAAAATAAGTCTTAAAAGGGAAAGTTCTTGTCAGGTCTTCACTGAGAAAGTGCTCAGATGAGTGCATGTGGTTCCAGGTGTACATGCAAGACATATCTGATCGGTTCTGACAGAACTTCTCTTATTTCTGAGACAGGGATTGCAAGTGATGTGAATTCTTAATGGGCAGCAGTAGCCAAGAGTTGCAGCTTTTTTTCTCTTTGAATGCTGGAACATGTATTGGAGGCCTGAGCAGTTTCTGATATAATATTTCAGGAGTATTACACTGTAGCAAAAAATATACACCTTCTGTGTTGGAGGTCCTTTCAGACTTCTTTCATTATTTACCTCTTGCCTTCTTGTTTATATTTTGGAACCCTGACCAATTGTGGTCCAAGAATGTCCAAAAACCCCAAGTCCAGAATAAAATAAATGTAACAGCGGGCTGACTACTAGAGTCACTATTATTAGCTCCTGAGGGAGTTTGGGTCTTAGCTGATGGATTAGCTTCAGACACTGAGGGAAGCACATGATGTCTATAGGTGGCTGAAGTCCAAAGCTGTAAGGTGGCACAATACCAGCTCATACTTTTTTCCCTAATTTCAGCAGCCCTGTATGTATGGAAACACAGAGGACATTTTGAAGGGAGAAGAAAGTAGTCAGGAAAGAAGTTCAATTATTTATGGAGAGCAGATGGATTTAGCAAACCTGCCTGCTGAGACAGAGGCATGACTGTGCAAATCAGGTAAGTGCTTAGCGGTCACAGATAAATCCTCTCTGCAGCCTTGGTACTGTTCATACTATATGTATGGGGCTAGATGCATATATTGCACTCAAATTTACAATCCTTTTTAAATTAACAGTTTCTGCAGAGGGTATATATGGAGTTTATGAAACACTGTGTATTTATATATCTGAGCACATCCTCTGTGGCACACTATCCTGGCTTTCCAGAGCAGGAGGTGTCAGCTGCATTCATAGTCCAGATATTTTGTCTCATTTTACTCAGGTTATACTGATACTTACCTCCATTTTCTGAGGCAGAGCCTTCACTCCATATATATAATTTATTCATGCCAAGCTTTCTTGAACTTCAGTAAGAATTTTTCCTGGTAAGTCATGAAGAAACAATGCATACTCAGGCTCTCTGGTACATATGCCATTATTAATTTCATGTCTAAATTTGGTTGCCTGAACTTTGACTGTCACTGCCAATAGCAACTGACCACAAACATTATCCTTAACAGTAACAGCATTACAGAGCAACTGTGACCCCATGGAAAAAGAAAGATAAGGCTCTGACAAACATGAAGCCCTCGCAAACATTTTGCAGTAGCTAATAAGATTTCATTGGAATAAGGATTAGCACATTTTTTTAAACAAAAAACATACATGACTCTATATTTGTCTCTAATTTATTGTTTCTTGTGGGGCAAGCCATAGCAAACAAATGACTTTGAATAGTGAATGTAATTGCTATTGTAAAACTGTGTTGTAAAATAATGTATTTCATGCATCTTAAGGCCTTGTGTGTTGTCAGTTTATGTCTTGCTTCACTTGATTCTCTGTCTTTTGCAAAATTTTGTTTCCTAATACCAACCACTAAGTTTATGCTAAGAATTACCCAGGAAAACTAGATACTTTGTGCTATTCTGAAATAAAATGTATATATAATTTTAGACACGGGCTCAGATTTAAACATAAGATTCAAAATTAGTTTCATCCTTCCAAATTATTTTCAAAATACCGGCATTGCTTAGAATTAGGGGACTGTGACACAGCCTTTCTGCAGCATGCAATACAATAATCAGAAGTATACATCTTGTTCCTTTTAGCACACATTACTATTGCATTAGAATGCTGTTGACCCAACTGGTTAGCCAATATCAGTGTAAGAGAATCTGAAATTTCTCTGTTTCTGCCACATTATATTTTGTCAATGTGCATAGAGGGTCATTCCATTGAAAATTAGGAAAGATTAAATAGCAGGAGGCAATTCTCCAGTCTCATTTCTGCCAATGCTACTGCCAAAATCCCTGTATGTTTACATTCCCATGTCCTCTTCTATCCATTTGCCAGGCCCTTGGCTGTGCTCTCCCACCCTTTTGGCAATATACAGCTGTGATCCATAGTCCATGTTTGTATTTGCTGGGACACTTTTAACTGCATGGTTCATGCACTTCGGGCTTGAACGTGGGGCTGGTCCATGGACAATGAGTTTCCATTGCTGCAACAACCATAAAGTAGAAAGACACTAAATTGCCTAACTTGCCATCAATTGTACACCCTGCCACATATGCTGCCTGTGCCAGTGACAGCTGGGAGTGTGCTGATAGCATTTCTGTTCCTTCCGAGCAGGACCTTGCCTTGCATTTGCCCATCACTTAGGAGAGCTGTCCTCCCTTGCCTTGGGCAGCAAGCATTTTGCTCAGTTTGCTAAGTGTAGGTCAGTTGCTCAGCTGTAGCTGGTTTTTGTTTTGGTCTTGAGCAATTCTGGTCCCAGGAAACAGATTTTTCAGTCCATCCCCTTGATGCAGATGGAGAATGACAAGGCAGCAGCACTTTCCAATAATTCTTTTTTCAAAACACATGTAATTTTACAAGAAGTCCCTTTTATGCAATATAAAGGATTAGTCCTATTTGTATTCAGTAACAAAAAATCCAAATAAAACAGCATAGCAAAACAGATGAGAAAGGAACATTTGTATCTGCCAGTCCTAATGTTTGCTCTTTCAAGTATGTTCATCATATAACCTCTTAAATGAACACATTCAGCTGCATTTTAATTCTAGGCAAGTATCTTATTTCCCCCATCTACATATGGAAAGCTGTTTCCAAAGATCAGCCTTCCATTTATCAGAAAAATCCATTTGTGCCTAGCACATATCAGTTTTTCTTGCTGCTAAACCTCACCTTGACCTCTTCTGTGATGTTTACATTTTTGGGAGCAGCTGTTTTCTTTCTGACCCTCTGTTTTTCAAGGTGCTGTGCACATTCCCTAGAGCAATATGCTCCCTTTGTAGTTAGAGTACTTAAATAAATCATCTAATTTAGAAGCCAAGTCAGAACTTAGGTAGGCTGAATGACTGAAGGTGCCCATCTCCTTCCATTGACTACAGGAGACCCTGGTGACTGTGCTCCTATTTTACATGTCTTTGTGAAGTGCCTGAAGGTGGGCAACATGAATCTGGGCTTCAGTGCTGTTGTTTTTTGTCTCCTGACCAGTCTTGAAGTCTTCCTCTGCACTGGTTCCCATGGCAATTCTTCTGTCTTGAACATAGATGACCAGTATCCCAAATGAATTCTCTTGTCATTGATAGCTTTCCCATGTCTCTGTCAATTGGAAGTACCCTGTCTGAAATAGTTTGTCATTATGTTTATTTTAAACAGGCGTGAAATTTGTATTGCATTTCTTCCCTCCCTCCCCCACCATGATGCAGAGTTCATTAATACCCTAGCTGAAACCTGACTTTTTTTTTGAAATCCTGAAATCCATCATCTTTTACCATGGGTTATTAATTCATACTTTACTTCTGTCATCCTGGGCTTCATAGTCAATTCTTCCTAGGCATTATTTAAAACCTCCTTTATAAAGGCACCACCTTCCAATTTACATGGCAATTTTAAGTTCCATTAACAACCCCTTGTTTCTGGTGTCCTGGTAATTAGTGGCAACATTAGGGTGCTTCCTCTCAAGAGCAAGAAATTCCTGTCAGAAGTCCACATTTTTGTGTTGCATAGTCACCCACTTGTTTATACATTTGCCAGGCTGCCCAAATAATGAGTATTGAAAGGTGTTGTTTCTTAATCTTTTTTTTTTTTTTCTTGAAGTGGAGGGAAATGTAACAATAAGGCTGTTACCATCTATCATGTAATTGCAGTTCTATTTCCATTCCATCATTGGCAGCTGCAGCTTATTTGAAAGATTATTATTTAATTGCTGCTTCTATGAAAAGTGATTTCTCATTGCAAGTCACACCAAAGCTACTGAGACCTGCTAAAGCTCATGCTCTACATTCTGACTGATATGCAGACTTCATACATCTCTTTACACTAAAAATTGAAAATATAAAATGTGGTTCGTTGTTGGAGGGAAAAGATTATTTTTGCTGCTGGCTTACAGAGAGCTGATTAAGCAAGACAGGGAGAGAATTGGCAAGGGTGATTTCCAAGGAAGAGGGAGCTGGTCTTTTTCTGTGGTATCAAAAGAGACAATAGCTACATGGCTTTTGTTCTACCAAAGTAAAAGCATGAAGTACCAGACTGTATGCCTTATGATTACCTCAAGACCAAAATCCTGGCATATCCCAGATACTTCTGCATTCCTGCCTTTCTCTTCCCCACATGATGACTGCATGACTCCCTTCTCCTCTCTCTGTTCACTGTCTTCAAGCCCTCCCTCAGCCCAGGGCTCATATCCCACCTGCGTCTGGCTACACTTTTCCTTTCTCAAGTGTTTCAGTGTCCTTTGTATCCTTTTCCCTCAGAATAGCCACCATGAGTCTCTTTCATCCTGCTCCCCTTCTCTTTCACAGACTTATTTGAACACTTTGGACTTAAACTGAGAAGATTCAGATATTCTCAATGATTTCGTCAACTTATTTTCTCAGAGGTGGGCTGTGCCAGCTGTTGGAAGTGTAGGACATACTAACTAGAGGCTCCAACTACTGCTTTCTGGTTGACTGTTCTCAGAATCAGGCAATTCCTGCTCAAGGATGTCTGTAATGTTCTTTTGATTGAATGCAGTGTTATACAGTTACCCTATTACAGGCAAACATAAATAAGCAGACCTGGGTGTGAAGGGTTTTTGTGGGCCTTTCACCTCCCAAAGGTGAAGACTCAAAAGCTGCGTTGCCATTTCAATCACTGATGTATAAAATTAACGGAAACAAATTGCCAATGCTAAGTAGTCACATTTTCTCAAAGAGAAACTATACAGAAGAGCTTTTGCACCAAGGGGAGGAAAGTAAGTATCCAGCAGGAGTTGGAGAGCTCTTTCTGACAAAACAAGAACGCTCTCATATGCAAATAGAGAAAAGAGGGTGTGGGCAGAGTAGAAATAGGATGCTCTGAATAGATGCATAGAAGAAACTGCTGTGCAATCTATGGAGCACAGGGGATGTACAGTGCAATAATGCATAGATTTTCCAGTTACTGTCAATGCTGGCCAAAAATAATGACTCATTCAAATATGCTTATGAGCTACATTTTAAAATTAAGAATCTGGACAGACAGGTACTGACATGGAAATGTACACAAGAGTTTGTTTAAATAGTGTCTTTCACAACCAGCTACTCAGTGACACGTGACAAGCCACAATATTTTTGCCACGTCAGTCACCTATGCCACATGCCCCAGCTTTGTCACATTGGTCTGTGTCCGTGCTTGGCACGCCCACTACGCTGATGTGCCTAGCTGCCACACAAATCTCATCTGCTCTCAAGCATGTTTCAGACCAGAGGATGTAGAAGTACAAACTCTTAGTCTTGTTGGGCACCCGCTGTCCCCATCCTTTCAAGGTTTTTCTATGGCATGTGAGCAATTATTTCAGGTTGCTTAAGTGGAATTTTATCTTGAGAAGTGTTGTGTAAATACCCATCCCCAAGGGAAACTTCTGGAAAATACACACATTTGCTGTCAGGAATACCAAATTTCATTTGAGGTCTGTGGGTAAAAAACATGCTGTCTTCCTGATTATTCCCAGCCAAAGAACCTTAAGACAGAAATTGAAAGAGGAAACTAAAAAAAAAAATACTGAACATAATGCCTGCTGGACTCTCATCATGCACTGAGGAACATGGATGTGGCATCTCTCAAACAGACAATGTGCCTGCAGTCTCAGAGATTCTCATGTGGCCTCCATGCCATCACCTCTGATGGCTGTCCCTGCAGGCAGCAGCAGATTGCTCCCCTATCCCTGAGGGGGTTCAAAATGCCCCATGATGAGAGTGCTGTGAATTGTGTAGCAGAAACATAGAGATATGGTGCCTCATGAGCTGCCTTGCTGAGGTAGTAATCACAATGTGTAGTGCCAGCAGCATTCCTCTGCCTTGAGGTCAGCACCCTAAACCAGTCAGACTGATGCCAACACCTCACCACACCTGCCAGTAATGCCATTAAAACCCAAATCCTCATCTCCAAAAGATCAGCACTAAAGCCCTGTTCAGACCTTGACTGCCTTTTTGGCAGCCCTACTCCCAGCCATCAGGCACCTCTATGGGGATGGGGACAGCCTAAGGCCAGGTTGGGACATCAGCCTGCATGTGTGGTGAGGTCGGGATCAGGCCTGGTAAGGGGGGTCCTTACATCTTGCAGCTCCACTCCACCAGTCTGCTATATTTAGGACAGAGGCAGTGGGATCAGGACTGAAAACAGTATGAAGAAGGCTAAAATGGAAAATGTAAGATATTGCAAGATAGAATACAGTACAATGCAGTATTGTATTGTGTAAGATATTACTGCTGTGGTTATGAAAGTTGATCAAGTGATGAGGCAGACAAGGTCATGCTATGAGGTTGTTTTGCATGTGCGTCATTTTTGTTGGGGTTTTGGTGTGGTTTTTTTGGGTGGTGGTGGTTGTTTTCTTTGTTGTTGTTGTTAGATTTCACTACTGAATCCAGAGAAAGCTCTCTTTTGCCTGGTGACACTGGTGAGAGCTAACCACTATTCCAGCCTGTATAATAAATCTGCTTCTAAATTCAGGTGTTTCAGAGAGCATCTCATTTTTAAGGGAGGCTCACAGAAATGCTCTGTGCTGCTACTAATAAAGGCAGCCAGCACCCACACTGAAGCAGGAGAGGGGTGGAGCTCACAAGCCTCTGAGTGCTCTGTCCTCCTCCTGCAGGGCAAGGCTGATGGAGCAAAAAAGCCAGAGCAGGCCTCTCATGGATGATGCTGTTCAGGACCTCCATGCTCCTCTGTGGTACCACACCTCTCCAGGACTTTTTGGTCAGCATTAAGAAAATCTGCTCAGAGGGTAGTTTTCCTCTCCCTGTATCACAGAATTTTTCTATTTATAATTGTACCTAGAATTATTAAAATATCCTTAAATCTCTCTAGTCTATTTATATGTTATATAATTAGGGCTGGAGGAATGAGGCGTACCTTACAGATCAACAACATACCAGTAATGCTGAATGTACCTTCCCTTCCATTATTTTATTTAAAAGCATCTAAGACCAGTAGGATAACATGCTGAAAATATAAATCATGTTGCCTTTTGATGCAATTGAGAAGCTAGAAATAAGGAAGAGAAACACATTTACATATTACAGTATTATAGACACACGTAGGATGAATACTCACTGTAGCTTGTAGTAAAATTTTTAACACAGGTAGTAATAGGACATAATTGCAATTGAGGTGTTTAAGGGAGGGTGCTTCTCATACAAACTAACCACAAGAACAATTAGAGGTGCAAAAGTCCATGTTCCTTATGTGCTCTTAGTCACAGAGTATATTCCACTATGAACAAACCCAGGGGTTGTGATCTTTAGTTCTGAAAATCAACTAACCTCATAATTACAGGTTTTTATATAACTAAAGGAGGCTTCTTTTGATCTGCATTTCTTTTAGACCGTTTTGCTTTATGTCAAAATAATCACTGACCTGGGTTGCACAGGGGACATCTCTGAGCAATGTAAGTGAGATTTTCTTGCTATAAAACTCCCCTCTCCCTGAGGGTTGTGGATCTTTAATTTACAGAAGGCAAAACTGCTTGGAAGTCCCTACCATGATTGAAGTGGCTTGTAGTTACAAAAACTGTGTATTCCTCCTGGCAATATTAGCCTTTTTTAGCTCAAGCAAGCCCCATAAAACCTTAGAATATCATTTGTTTTCAGTAGTCACAACGAATTTCTCACTAATGGAAAGAGTGCAATGCAGAACAGATTGATTGCCATAAAGATGATTTATTGTGTTTACTGTTTCATTAAAACAAGCAATTAGCCAAAGCTTTAAGTGTGACAGACTTTTTTTTGTGGGGATTCGTTGATGATGAAAGCACATGTTTCTCCAGGATGGGAGTTCCTGTTCATTCACAAAGTCAGCAAGACAACTTACAGCCCAAATTCAACAAGGAACATGACAAGGAGCTGTGTCTTTTCTCACCACTCCAATTCCGTTTCTGGAGAGCAACCTTTGCCTCCTAACCCTTTGTGGGGACACGTGCCCAGGGTTGTCCTAGCTGTGCTGAAAGGCATGGACCAGGGCAGAACTAGGACTTTGCCACAGCCCCCAGCTCCACTACTCCTTCTGCTCAGTGGCACACAAACATTACTCCCTGGTGAGGAAGCTCATTTCCCCCCATATGCTCTTAATTTTGGGCAATAAATAAATAATATGCCTGGAACAAAAGCTTGTAACTGCGGCTGAGACAGTTCTGCATTTATCATGCATGATAAATCCTGGCTGTAACACAGGCATCCATGCCTGTAAATTTAGCAGCTGTATTGCCCTGAAGACTGGTCTGTATTTAGAAGGGTAAATAAGATTCTTTTTTTCCCTCAGCAGTTGCTGACAAAGTTTGTAACAGGTCTAATAACGCTTTGTGTCCTGTGGGAAATATGTATGGTAATTTGCCTGTGTAAACACTCATTTCTCCTAAATAGATCTTCTGTCTGGCTCTGCATGTCCCTTCATCTGTTTTATAAAATCAGTTAAATAAGCAGCTTGCTCCCCATGCCTCTTCTCACCAAATCAGAGACATAGGTCAAAGTCCAGCAGCCCCAAACCCCATCTCTGATCTTTATGATATTTTTGCAGACTCTCCCCAGTCCTCTTCTGCTCTAGACTCAAATGCTTTCCCTTTCATGGCCAGAATATCAGATGAACTAAAGCTACTTCAGACCTTTTTAGTCACGGTAGCTTGGGAAAGTCATGCCTTCCATCAGTTTTATCTATCGACGTCTATCTGTGGCCTTTGCAACTTACATGGTAAAAAAATGACCTTCAGATCCTGGGAAGGGATCCCATAATTCCTTTCACGTTTCGTAGCTCTTTTTTTTTTTTTTCTCATATCTTTTCTTCTTTTCATACAACTGCAAAGACTGCTTTGCTTGGTTTTTCAAAACAATTTTTAAATGTTGGTTGATAATCATGTTGTCATCACTCAGCACGAGAGATCATTTCTGAATGAAGGGCACGAAGTGGTTTCCATTGCTGCCATCTCCTGGCGCAGTTAATGAACTCCACACGGCAATAACAAAGGCACATTAGCAGGGAAGAGAAATTAAACAAACTAAAATAGCGTATAAATTTTCCTGAAGGCAGCTGGTAGATGCCAGGAAAACATCTTAAAAGATAATACACACCAGAAGGACCATTGCCAGATGGAAATTTCAATGCTCCCTGGAACTGCCTTGCTCTTTGTTGTAGTACCAATGTAACATCCATGATGATATTAAAAACGTAAGAAAAAAATTAAATTTCTCTGTGTTTTGGTAGGCATTTCACATAATGACTCTTCAATCAATTTTATGGTTTTGCTGAAGTAATTTCTCTGCTGTTGGAAGGGCTCTTTCAGAGTAGGAAAAAACCCCTACAGGTTGGGGTTTAAGCAGGTAAATGCCTAATGCTTTAACAATGGAAATTACCCATGAAAGTTCAAGGAGAGGTGCAAGGTTAGAAATGTATTTAATTAACACTTCTGGAGCTGATCATCTGGCAGTGTCCTTATAATTGCTGTTGTTTGGTAATTGTGGTAAATGAAAGAAAAAAATAATAAATCTCCCAGAGATCAGTAAATGCAAAATAAGAAATTCAGTGACCTGAGCAATGACTAAATAAATAAATAAATAAATAAATATATTTAGGAGCTGTTTTCACTGCGTACTCAACACATTTTACTGCAAAAAATTGGCTTTGCTGTGCTTTGCAAAGAGAGCAACTCTGTGAGGTGTGCAGCTGAATCCAGTGGGAATCCATCATACCAATAGAAAATACATTGAATTTCTGCCCTTGTTTTCTGAACAAAAGCACAGTATTCTGTCTGTATTCCCTTCGTTCATGCTGAATTTCAGATCCTTGTGAGTTTTATCATTGCTTTGTCTTGCTCATGAGTTCAAATTAATTTTTAATGATTTAAGGATGCAAAAAAACACTCAATATTTCCTGAAATCACACCTATATATTTCAACTGCAAGCTTTACTAATCCTCAGAAATTCATTATGGGAGAGATAGAGCACTTGATAGCTTTTTGATCTCTTCCACAATCGCTACTCCATTCATCAGCCAGCCAGCTGGCTGCATCAGCTCCCTTTGGAGTCCCTTTCCCTGACTAAGCAGTGCTGCCATAAAACTGCATTGTATCCCGGTGCTCTGCCCTTCCTCCACAGATGTTGCTGTTTCAATGGGCATACACAGTCCCTCAGCAAAGCTAAAATACTGCTCTGCCAAGTTCCTCTTGGCCAAGATACTTCCTGATGCTGATTTTTTTTTTTTTAAGAGCTTCTGCGGACCATGTACCTTTCCCACTCCAAGGACAGAATATCTTTGGTTTACCCTGGCTGGCAGCCTGCCAATATGGCATCCAGGTTTCTGGAGTTAAGAATGATTTCCATATGATCAGACAATATTATTTTGGGATCAAAAAAGCTTAGGCAGTGCACAGCACTCTCTGGAGCATAGTCATTTATGCTCAACAAATGTTTTCATTTATAAATGAACGTAAACCTCAGAAATGTAAAACAACCTTTTAGCAGAACTATTTTCTTTGCATTGTGGAGTAAAGTAAATATTCCTTGAAAAAATGTTCTGTAGGAACATTTATACCTCATGCAATGAACTATGTAATTTTTACCTGTAAATCTCTATATTTCATCAATTTTTATCAACTATCAATTGCCATGTGAAATACAACTGGCTCTCATGAAACTGCTCAAGAATAGCCATGATCAGAATTTGGACTTACTTTGTATATGATATCACTGCTAATCAGAATAAGATGACCAAGGATACACTTCTCTTTGCTCTACTTATGGCTCTCCTAGTTCATGTGTCACATTAAGAAAGTGTGGACAAGAAAAAGATTTAGCACTCTAAGAGACAACTGTGACCTAATGAAGACTTAATGAGGAAGGACAGGATGAGCAGGGACTGCACAGGGTGACAGCCATGGTGGTGGGCGGGTGTCTGGTGTGATTCAAGGCTGCTTACAGCGGTGAACATCAGATTTATTGCTTTCTCAAAGAACCAGTGGGAATGAAGGTGCACAGAAAATATAAACTATTTATGGTTTATTTGTCTTTTCATAACCACTATAAATGGCAGACATACCTGTGGGAAAACTCCCCCTATCTTTGTCAGAGACAGATGCCTTGGAGCATTTGCAGGTGGATCACAGCCTGAACAAAGAATTTCAATGAGCTGTGTGTGCACATGAGGAACAGGAGGAATGCTGGAAACACACATGTTCGAGCATAGTGGCTCTGCAAGTGAGGGTCAGAGCACATCCCAAAATGTTTCCACTGCACTTACCCTGGTCAGTAATTTTAGCATTCACCCCAGAACAGAGACAAGAGATAGGCTCAGTGAGCAACAGGCTCACCCTTCCTTGAAGGTATTTCTTATAATGGGGCAAATGTTGTTTTGCTGTTGACTCTGTTGTACCTCTCCCCCATCTAAAGAAGGGACCAGGGTTGCCATGTTTTCCGAACCAGCAGTTTTCTCAGGCATGCATAAATCAACACACTAGAGTTAATTCCAAGTGATTGTTCTATGGACAAAGTTTAGTTCCTACAGATCATTTCAAATGATCCTCCCACACATCCTGGTCGCCTGCTCACCTTCTCTGCACTTGCTCCATGTAACATGGCTAGATTTCTACCATATCTCTTATTCTTTCCCTCATTTCTGTACATCATGTTTTCACTAATTCCTCACTGTGGTGCTTTATCTTCCTCTCATGCCTCTATATTTCTGGCAGTCCAAGAGGCAACATATGCTCTGTGGGGTTTAGAGCTCCGCGTGTGCTGCCCATTGTGCCAGCGAGCACATGCTGTTCACACAGTGGAGCCATGCCTCCTGCAGTGGAGGAGGGCTGAACTACCCTTTCCTCGCCTCCTCTGGGGAACTTCCTCAACCCTCTCTACCAGCCACCTGCATTTTTTGATCCTTGTAGGAATTAAATACCTTTGAGACTTCTACTTCTTTGGCAGATTTGGTAAAAATAGCAGGATGGCTTCAGGAGTCCTTGCACAGTGGGAAGGCAGATAGGAGGAGAGGCAGTCACAGCAATTATACTACTCCAATTCCTTAGAAAATAGAGCTAAAAATTAATTACTTTGAAAAAAGATCATGATGAACTGGACTCAGTACCCTTTCGTTTCGTCTGCCAATCAGACTTCTTGTCTCTCATCCTGAGATGAGATCACAAGATCCACAAGGCAAGAAAAGCACTTTTGCTCTCTGTTTCCTCTATTATCTAGTAAAAAATAAATGTGGTAACAGATAGATGTACACAACTTTGTTTTAAAAGCCCCAGCACATGGAGCCAGTGAACTGAGAACTGCAATATAATTGAAGATGCTGCAAGATACCCCTTGATCTCTTCCCCAGCTGCTCTTTTCTTCCCTCTATATCTTTTTGATTTGGTTTGGTTTTGGTTGGTTTTTTTTTGCTGCAGTGACCTTCTGTCACTCAGCATGCCAGGTCTCCATTCCAAATCTGTTGTCATGGAGATTTGGGCCAGCGCTCCTGGGGAGCAGTGTGCCTCTCTCAGCCATTCCAGTGACAAGTCTTGAGCAAACCTGGAGCATGGTCCCCAGCAATGTCTGTCTGCTACCTGAAGCCCACTGGAACCACCAGGGAAGCACCTGATGAGTGTAATGCAGGGAGACAAACCCTGAATTGTTAAAGACACAGGGTTTTTCCAGAGTTCCCTGTAAACCTACAAGCTACAGGAGGTCACCCTCTGGATGGCTGTACTGTTACAGCATTGTTGTAGTGAAATAATAAAGCAAGAAGGGCTGTGTTCATAACTGTAACATCTCTAGGGGGGTCTGAAGAAGATGAAGTGGCTGAAATTTTGCCTTGATATTCTCATTGTGGGATGAGTGACACTGTAAAATAATGACTCAGCTTAATAGAGTTAATTTTTCTTTTTTTCCAGTTTGAATAGTAGGATAAACAATTAATATTCTTACATGTTACAAGGGAGACAGAAAGACAGGGATTAGCTCACACAGGAAGAAAAGGCTGCCTTAAATATCTCATCAAAATGAATATATAAAAAACACTGAAAACTGATAAAATTAAGCCTGTTCTCAGTAGTTTGAAATAGGGCAATATCTATGACTTCTCCTAAGCAAATTTGCCAGTCTCAGATAGCTT